GCCTGGAGCTGCCGACTACCCTTTTGCATCCACCGGCCCGCATTCTGTAATAGCACCCTAATTTCAGCTGCTCGCTCTGTATTCCTACTTCCCTGGGACACGGAGACTAAACTGCAATTTCCTTCCTTGGCAAGGGCCTCTGTACCCTCTCCGCCCCTCCTTCCCTTTCATTCATTCTGTCTTCCGGTTTTTGTTCTGGGGGTGCGGCTAGAGTTGTCCAGGCTTCAGGGAGCATAAGGACTATGTGAGGTGTTGTGGTCCAGAGCCGACCTGGAAACCTGATCCTCTTCTTTCTGCATCCTAGAGGGGCTAGTCTGGACAGCAGAGCTCAAACTCTGCACCAAGTCGTTCTTGTTGTTGTTGATTGTCATGACTCATAGAGATTCTGAACAAAAGACCTAATGCCTTTTCGTAACTATCGTCATTTCTACAAGTTCATAAGAGTTTCCAGAGGTATGTGGTTTAGAAAGTGGATACCACTCCTGCTTCCAAACCTGTTTTACAGCTCCGAGCTCCACCAAACTTTGTCCACAATGGGAAACCATTAGGGTAATTGATACCCCAATGGTGAGGTTCAGCATCACAGCAAACCCAGGTTACTTCATACAGAACATTGATAAAGTATAATTTTGAATAATTTTTTTCATGAGTTCCTTATTTTTCAATGCAACATAGCATTCCATTGTGTGAATATACCAGAGCTTCTCTATCCATTCATTTGTTGATGGCACTTGGGTTGTTTCCAGCTCTTTGCTATTGTGAACAAAGGCACAATAAACATGTGAATATATGGGTGGTGGTTGTGGTTTCTTTAGGGTACATTTCCTGTAATGGAATTGCTGCGTCGAATGGTATTTCTATTTGCAACTTTTTAAGAAAGCACCATACAGCCTTCCATAGTGGTTGTACCATTTTACAATCCCACCAACAGTGAATAAGGGTCACAGTTCCTCCGCAACCTCACCAACATTTGATGATGTTTGCTGTTCTGTTAAATTTTGCTTTTCCTACTGGGGTGAAATGATATTTCATAGTTGTTTTGATTTGCATCTCTCTTAGAGCTAGGGATTTTGAACATTTCTTCATGTGTTTGCCATCTGAATGTCTTCTTTGGTAAAGTGTCTGTCCATATGCTGTGCCCATTTTTCAATTGGGCTGTTTACCTTTATCTTGTTGTGGTGCTCAGAATTGTATAAATTCTAGATCTAAGTCCCTTGTCTAACATGTCATTGCTGTTGTTATTGTTGTTACGTGCCGTCGAGTCGCTTGCGACTCATAGTGACCCTACGTACAATAGCCCTAAACCCTGCTCTATCCTGTGCCAATTGCACTGCCTCTGACACACCCATCCTGATTACCCCAGTCACTGAATCAATCCACCTCATAGAGGTTTTCCCCTCTTGCACGGTCCCTCCACCCTCCCAAGCATGATATCCCTCTCCAAGGACTTGTCCCTCCTTACAACATGTCCAAAGTATGTCAGACGAAGCCTCAGAATCCTTGCCTCCAAGGAACAGCCTGGTTTAACCCTCTCCAGGATGAATCTGTTTTCTTAGCACTCCATGGTACATTCAGTACTCTTCTCCAGCACCACAGCTCAAAGACATCAATTCTCCTTCTATCCTTCCTAGTCATTGTCCACCTCTCTGATGCATAACAAGTGATTGCAAAGACCGTAGCCTGTATCAGATGCAACTTAGTCTCCAGAGTGATACTATTGCTCTTCAGTACCCTGGAGAGGTCCCTAACAGCAGACTTTCCCGTTGCAATAAATTTTTGGTTTTGTGGGGTTTTTTTTTTTTTTAATTTCCTGGCTACTGGAAAAGGAACATGTCATTACCAAAAATTTTATCCCAATCTGTGGCTTCCCTTTTTACCCTGTTGGATTAAGTTTTTGGATATGCATAGGGATTTGATTTGTAGAGGGTCCCATTCATCTACTTTATCCTCTCCTGACTGTAGATTTTCCAGGATGCTTGGAAGACTGTTTATGTTGTGGATTAGGAATTCTAGGGTTCTTCCAAGCTTTTCTTTAATGAAATTTATTGTCCTTTGTTTTAGTCCTAGGTCCATAATCCTCTTTGGATTGGTTTTTGTGTATGGAGTGAGGTGTGGATCTTAAGTTTTCTGCAGATAGTTTTCCAATTTTGGAAGCACCATTTGTTAAAAAGGCTGTGGTTTCTCCACTTGACTTATTTTATCTCCTTGTCAGAAATCACTTGACCACAGGTAGATGGGCTGATTTCTAGATTCTCAATTCTATTCCATTGATATATGTATGTCTGTCATTGTACCAGTACCACACTGGCTTGACCACTACAGTAATGTAATAGAATTTGAAATCAGGGAGTGAGATGCCTCCTACCTGGTTTCTCTTTTTAAGGAGTGCTTTGCTTATTCTGGGCCTTTTTCCATTCTGAATGAAAATCCGCTACTAAGGTAAGCTATGACACAGTCCAACTTGGCAGCAATGAACAACAGCAAGAACATTATTGCAGGGTCATAGGTATAATATTATTTACCTTTGTGGTCTCTTCCTCCTGTCGTGGTCATTGAGAGACCTCCTCTCTTATTGTGTACTGCTTTCCTTTTAACTAAGTTAATGTATATCTACTCTTTAGTTAGTGATTTACCCTGCTCTCCCTTCTGATTTCTTGTAGCAATCAAAGACTGTTTCATTCTATCTAAATCTTTTCTTGACTTCTTGTAATAAGCTTATTACTTCGTATGTTTGAGAATCACAGTGACAGCATACTGCTTGTGCTATAACACTTTGGTGTTAAACTCTAGTTTATGTCCTGGCTGATCTCTGTTGTAGCAAGAGTTTCCAGAAATTAAAAAAAAAAGAGAGAGACAGGAAATAAAAAGCAAGTGACAATGTCAGAGGAGCCAAAGACTCAGAAGGTTTTTCTTAAGAGTACCAAAAGCTTTAAAGCAGATTAAAGATGCTTTAGTTAATTATATTGGGGGGGGAGGGGAAACCTACTGAGATGCTGTTTCTCACCTACTAGAATGAACAAATCAAAGCTTAACTACGTATTTTGTTCTTATGACTGACACTTTCATGTGTTAGTGTTAGTAGTAATGTGTAAAATGTTACAGTCCTTGTGATTATATATATATATATATATATATATATATATATATAAAATCTCACAATATATTTTTTTGTTGTTGTTGTGTATCGTCCAGTCAGAACTGACCCATAATTGATTTTGTGGTGGGTTTTCAGAGACAGTTAATTGCATGGAAGGAGATTGCCTATCCTTCTTCTGCAGGACAGCTAGTGGATTTGAACCATTTACCTTTATCTCATATAAATATCATTTATATTTTTAAACCATGTGAATTTCTTATCTATGCAAATAAAATTTAAAAGAGGAAAGTGCTAATTTACTTCACTTTGAGAGTATTGTTGACTACTTCCATGATTGAATGAACATCCCGATTCTGATTCCAATAGACTATAGTGAGATTAGTCACCTTCAGGAATGTTCTTAAAGCTACTTGTTAAGAAGACAAATGGAACTGTTTTTGATGTTAAATGGAAATACGCACACACTCAGACACACACACACAAAAAACTAATTTAGGATTTCCCTTTTCTACCCTCTAAGAATTGATGCCTTTGAGTCATAGTACTGGAGAAAAGTACGGAATATGCAAGGACTACCAAAGAACAAACAAGTACGCAAATATGTCTTGGCGCAAGCACAGTCAGGGGACTCCTTAGGATGGTGAAACTTCATGTCCCATACTTTGGGCATGCCGTTAGGAAATACCAGTCCTTGGGAAAAGACATCATGCTCTAAAAGCGGAGGGTCAAAGAAGAAGTCTCTCAATAAAATGGTTTGCCATAGTGACTGGGCAAAAGTGAATGGGCCCAAGCATACCAGAGAGGTTGATGAAGGTTCAGGATAGGCCAAGGTTCAGAGCTGTTCTTCACAGGATTGCTATCAGTCTTGAGCCTGCCATGGACTGCCAAGAAAACAAATAAGTTTGTCTTAGAGAGAATGAAACCAAGTTTCTCCTTGGAGGCTAGGATTTTGACGTTCCATCTCACGTACTTTGGACACGTGGCCAGGAGGGACTGGTCCCTGGAGAAGGACATCATGCTCAGAATGGTGGAGGGACAGTGCAGTGGAGGAAGACCCCAGATGAGATAGATTGATACCATGATTGGGGTTAGTGTGTTGAAATCAATGACACTGACTCAGGACGGAGCAGGCTTCAGAGCTGTTGCACATGGGGTTGCTGTGAGTTGTAGGCAACTTGATGGCACATAACAACAACAACAACAATAGCAATCCTCTGTAGGAGATTTGCCATTATGGTGAAGGCTTCTCATGGCCCACAACAGTTGGGTTTAATTTGGTTTCGTTATGCTTTTTAATGACACGTCTGATTTAGCTTCTTATAGTCACCTGTTTGATATAAAGACAAGTAAACAAGCTCCCTTTCAGTTTTTCCTAGAAAATAATAGAAATCGTAAAAATAGAGACATTGATTCTAGAGATAACAGATCCTGATGTGCTCTTCTCTTGGGATTGTGGATGCATTCCCACAGGTCACTGGGAGCCCCTGCTTTTGTCGTTAAAGGTTCTTTTCATGAACTTGGCAGTTGAAATCCTGTACCTCATTCCAGTTATGGAGTCCTTGGGTGGCACAAATGCCATAGCACTTCACTGCTAACTGAAAGGTTTGTGGCTTAAGAACCACCTCAGGGAAAGGCCTGACAACGTACTACTTAGAAATCAGCCATTGAACGCTGGTATCTTCCCCACCCAGGCCTGAGACCATAGAGGACATCAGAGAGAGGAATCTCTTTTAATCACCACCCTCCACATCCATCTAGAGTTCTGAGGAAAACCACAAAATCTATCCTAGTCTTATGCCACGAGCAGAGTTTAGGGTCTCATCATTTCTTGTCCATCTCTAATCTTTGTTTTCCCTTTCCATATCCTATTTTTTATTTTTTCAGGTAATTTGGAATTGTCAAAATGCTTGTCAGTGCAGCAATGAAATGTCTTAAGAAAGTTGCTCCTGCTGGAAACATGATTGCAGTACAGGACTTAGCAGAATCTAACAAGTTAGAGTTTCTGAGCCTAACAACCAAAGAGAAGAGATTTTGGCCCTGGCAGAAACCCAAGTACCAACATTTACAAGCCACCCTCGGAGACATACTTACTGAAGACCACTTTCCGAGTCCAGGTATGTTTCTTCAGGAATAGTCTACAATTAGCCTTAGAATAGAAGATGGTTCTTTTTCTAGTCATGTGTTGATTTGAATCCGTAGTTGCCATGTTATAATGAATGCTCCTGTTTCTTGGACTGCCGACTTAAAATATGTGCTTTCTTGAAATGAACAAAATGCTACAGGCTTTCCTGATGTGAGATGTTAGTTTTCTCCTTTTTTAAAAAAACGTTTCCGTTTCTGGGGTAAAAGTAAAGCATACTAATTTTAGATGTAGGCACTTCACAGAGATGAGATGGAGCCCCAACTCCAAATCTGGTTCACATGTTGAGGCTGATGATGCCAAACATGCCCCAAGATGGTATAAAAAGGTTGATTACGTACAAAATGAGGCTATCTGGGACGAGCAGGATAGAATTCCAAGGTGGTCCCCAAATGACTAGAGTATGTGGAGAGAAGAGATGGGTTTGAAGTTGTTATTGTGCGTAGGAGGTGAGATTATAGTTTGACTGTGTCCTTCCAGCATCAAAGAAGTATCTGATCTGTTTTTTAAAAGAAAATTTTTTTCTTTTAATTTTATATTGGTTTGCATGCACACATTGTGTTTCATACAATCATTCCCATACATTATGTTTTATAAAACGTATCACCCTAATCCATGCCCACCATTAGCCTGTTTTTTCAGGTCCCCACTGAATCTTTCCCATTATCTGAGCTTTTGTAGTAGCTTGCCGGGCTGTGGAGCAGAAGGAGAAAGTTGAATGAATGGTAGGGCTTGAAAGCGGCCTCTAACTATCTTAGTTTCTTAGTGCTGCTATGCTTTTGAGCTGTGGTGTTGGAGAAGAGTGCAGATTATCCCATGATCTGCCAAAAGAACAGATATGTTTTCGATAGGGTGCAGTGAGAGTGCTGCTCCTTGAAAGCAAAGATAACAAAGCTTCATCTCACATTCTTTGGGCATGTTACTAGGAGAGACTATTCCTTAGAGAGGGACATCATGCTTGCAAAGGTGGAGGGTTAGTGAAAGAGAGGAACACCCTCAACAAGAAGGATTGACACATAACTGCAGTAAAGGGCTCAGAGATGTTGAGGATGGCACAGGATAGGTCAGGGCTCAGATCTGTTGTCATAGGGTAACTATGAGTGGTACTGGACTTGATGGCACCTAACAACACAACACAGACTGCTGCTCTGGTGCAGGATGGTCTGGTAGCAGAGTCTGTAGGAAATTGCTCAATTAGCCCAAAGGCCACGTCTCTAGCGTTTAAATTCACCAGCAGGTCCCAAAGGCCACGCCTCTGGTGTTTAGTCTACCAGTAGATCCATGGGAGAAAAACGAGCATTTGCCCTTTGTGCTTGGAAACCCAGTGGAGGGTCAACTCTAAGTCAGTTCCCACTCAACAGCAATGAGATTTGTCAAGTTACTAGAACAGGTTTCTTGCCTCCAAGAAGCACCTTGGTTGCACTCTCTCCAAGATAGACTTACTTGTTCTCTTTGCAGTCCATGGGTTATTCAGTACTCTTCTACACCACGACTCAAAGACATCAGTTCTTCTGTTATCCTCAATCACTATCCAATTTTCAGGTTCATAGCAAGTGACACTGAAACTTCATCTCATCTACTTTGGTCATATTGTTAGGAGGGACTAGTCCTTGGACAAAGACATCCTGCTTGGAAAGACAGAGGGTTGGAGGAAGACCATCAATAAGACAATCAACAAGACAATGAAGATGAATTGACACAATGACTGTAACAATGGGCTCAAGTGTGCTGGAGATGATGAGGACGGCACAGGAGCAAGGTTCAGTTCTCTTCATAGGGTTGCTACATGTCTTACTCAACTGGAGGACCTATAACAACAATGAGAAGAACAAAATAAGAAAGCACTGGAAGGGAAGAGTCTACAGGGCATTATGCTGCTGACCTGAAGGTGACACATCTCTGGTAGTTTGATCCACCAACTGCTCTGAGTGAGAAAAATGGGCATTCTCTTCCTATGCAATTTACAACCTCTGAAAACCTGCTAGAGAGTCAGCTGTGAGTCAGTTCTAATTTGACAGCAGTGAATTTGAGATTATAAACAGAAATACCACAAGCAGGTGACTTTGTTGTTGTTGTGTGCCATCGAGTCTGAACCGACCCAAAGCTGATCCTTCAGCGGGTTTTCAGAGACAGTTAATCACACGGGAGGAGATTTCTCACCCTTCTCCTACAGATGGCTTTAAAGAATAAATTTTCATTTTCTCCCAATTTAGGAGGCACCGGCTCTAAAAGAAAGCTCCTTTCTGCTGCTAGAGAAAAATTTTTGTCTTAAGGAGAAATCAAGAACACTTTTTTTCCCCAAAAAAACCCCAAAATTCTATTTGAAATGTTAATTCTCAAAAGAAAAAAGAGAAATGTTAATTTTCACTAACCCTCTGATTTTAGCCTTTTCCCTTTGCATCTTGTATTTTAAAGCAAAATTGGAACATACTATGTATAATTTTATATTTTCATTGTTTTTAAAATTTAATCTTATATAAGCTTTCCTCTGTGAGTTTAAATATTTTTTTGAGTTTCATTTTCACAAACGTGATATACATCAAACCTATTATACCCAACATAAGTTGGATACGCATCATAATTTATTTAATTATCCGAACTTAGGGTATAATAGAAACATAACTGTATTTTTGGAATTTTTTTGCACTTAAACAGTTGCCTTTATGTAAATTCCTGAGGTCAAGTTTCACAGCCGGGGTATTGAAGCTTTCTAAAGACTCTTGGCACCCATCACTGCTTTGCTTTTTAAAACATGATGACATATGACAGAATCATCGGCTTCCAATGATTGGCCTGAAAGGTGGTGGCTCAAGTTCACCCAGAGCCTCTTTCAGGTCTTTGAGCTCAAGTTCTGACAGTATCTGCTTTAAAGGGGGGTGGGGAGAGATGGTGGCGATAATTTAAGTTTATGTGTAGTCCCCAGAATCTGTTGCAGACAAGCATCTCTGCCAGTGCTCTCTTCAACCAGGCTCATTGTCAGAGCTGTGGAGCGGCGGACAGATGACTTGCTATTACTGTTATGCCCTCCCCACCTCTCACTCTGTGCTCTGGGTTATCCCCTTCCTTGGTAAAATTGCTATTGAGTTGAGAAATTACTAAACATGTACAGAAACAGGAGAAAATATAACAAATAGATCCTCTGCCCCTAAGTCTTGCCTGCCTCCAGAAGCATTTTCCAAAGTGTTTGCCATCCACATATGTTACTACGAAAAGATTTTTAATTAAGAAAATTTTTTTTAAGTAGTAGTTGAGAGCTGACTCCCTGCTCTGTAAATTGTGAAGATAATGAATGATGATTACTTCTCATTAATCCTGATTGAGGAGTGGGTTTTCTTGACTGGAGTGAGAGAAATATAGGTGTTGAGGGGAAAGAGGGTTTTTAAGGAACTAAGTGGATGCAAGAAGCCTTTCAGACACCAAGTGGATTTGTTAAGTAGAACCATGGATCAAAGAAATGGAAAAAATTCCAATGGGAAGTTCCTAGCTGATTCCTCATTGAAATAATGACTAAAACGACTTCTGATCTTTTGTTGGCTTGAAAATGAGAGAAATGGAAACCTGGAGCCACATGAAAAAGCTCAGATATGAGATCATTATATTCCTTAGCCAGCCAAGAAGGATGGAGATGGAATTGTGATATTGGAGGGAGGGTGGGCAGGTCCATAGACCTTATCAGGAAGACAGATAAGGAGTTACATGATAAGGAGTTCACATAGGAGATGATACAACGGAAAACCAGAGGTGAAAAGGAGGTGCCCAAGGGCAGGTCAGGCCTACCAGATGCTGAGCAAGGCGAAAAGAAAAACACAGGTATTTTCCACTCAAAGACAATGGTAAGACCATACTCAGCCCAAACCAGAACACTTAGGAGGCCTGGAAAAAGGAGGCAGTCAGATGAGTGCATAGTCTCAATAGGTTTTACTCTAGTGCCTTCACAGGATTCACTCCATTTCTTGACCTGACTAGTGGTTGAGCAAGTGTTCACTTAAGAATTGTTTATTAAACCATATAGAGCTATTTCATGTACCTTTTAAATATATAATTGTTGCTGTTATGAACCATTGAAGGGGAACTGCCCCATAGCTGACACTCCAGTGGGTTTTCAAAGGCAGTAAATCACAGAGGAGGAGATTGCTCATCCTTCTCCCTCATAGCAGCTGGTGGATTTGAACCGTGTGTCTAATATATAATTAAACACTAAAACCAAAGAGGAACCAGTAAACCCCTGTCCAAGAGTCCATTCACAGTGCTGCTGGTCCAGTTTTGTTTTGACTTGTGCAACCAGCTTTATATTTTGAACTCTAGCCCAGTGTTCCCCAAGGGTCTCTGTGGGGTTGGGAAGCGGGGTGACCTAAAGCCCAGAGGCAGCCAAGTTGTCACTGATCCCTCTGTATGTCTCGTTCACACCAGTGGTTGTGGAGTCAGACTTTGGGAAATACGCTGGCAAGTTTGAAGACCGTATGACTGGGATCCATCAGATGTTCTTGGAGATTTTCGGGCTGGACCTGGGATACAAAGGCCTGGTGGAGAGTGAGTTTTCATTTAGAACCCTGAAGATGCAGGAGCTGGACCTGAAGCAACTTACCCGAGACTCTGCTGAGAGGTAATGAAAATTCCATTTGGCATTTTGGATTCTGACACATTTCACATTTAAAGGTCATGTGGTTAGACCTTTGTTAAAAGGGTGACAAATGGGAAATTTGCCAGTCAAGAAACATTTACCAAATGCCTATCCTGTTTAAATTTTATGGGGAATACATCTATCGTCTGGAATTTCTTGCCTGGTCTTAACCTAGACAGGGAAATTTGGGGAGTACTTTAAAGGTATATTACTTCAAACAGCAAAGTCATTCAGTCATAACCAAGCCAATAGTTGTTGTCAAGCCACTTCCAACTGCTATCAGAGAACTGTGCTCTAAAATGTTGGTGTTTTCCTTCCCTGTGTAAGTTTATTTACAAACATATTGAGTGCATATGTAAGTTCAACAGAGTTTGATCCTTTTTCTCCAAGGTTGCGTTTCTTCCCATGCTTGTCTTCTCTATTTTGTGGATCCACTGAAACATTCTTAAGTTGGTGCCTTAAATGTAAAGAGACATGCACAAATCAGATCCAGAGTATAAGATCATGATATTTAGCAAATGCCTTTTGGTTTCCACTGAAAATGGCAACTTCCTCCTTCGTTTGCTCTCATGGAGGCTCCTATACCATGGGGGTGGCCAATCTGGCCTGCAGGAGGCTCTGTGAAAGGCACTGAGACCACAGATGGAAGAAAAGGTGGCTTTCATGACTTTCCTTTTTCTTCATTGAGTTTTTAATGGCTGGTTTTTTGAAAGAAGATCACTGCTTGCTATTGTTGTGTGTCCTATTGAGTCACGACTCATAGCTTACTCTCCAGAGGGTTCTTAGAGACAGAAAATCACACAGGAGGAGACCATTACTGGGTTGGTTTTTGTTCCCCTTAGGCATCTCTCAGTAGACTCAAACTTCACCCTTTTAGTTAATGTTCGAGTACATTAACCAGGATGCCATATGACTTACCAAAAATACTGGTAGTGAAAATGCTCTGTCTTGCTTTTTTTAATACTGATCCCAGAAGAAAGGAATTTACAGTGCCCTCCAGCTCTTCATAAATTTCTGATTAGAAAAAAGATAAAAACAAGTGAAAGGCTTCAGGGGGAAATCTGTTCTTCAACTTTGAAGCCTAAACCCCACATTTATTTATGTATTTGACTTGCAGGAAATAGGATTGACCCTAATATGGTACTAGCTGCTATCCAGTTGCCATAACTCGTAGTGACCCATTCTTTAGAAAGAACCACTCCACGGGGTTTTCTGGACATTAATCTTTAGGGGAGCAGTTCCCCAAGTCTTCCTTCTGTATAACTTTTTATTTTATTTTATGCTTATTCAATATTCATTACATAAGTTTTTGAGTACCTGCTATGCTCTATGTGTTGTGGATGCTGGCATGAAAATATCCCTGCACTCTCATGGAAAGAGATGTAAAGTAAACTACTAAGCAAAATATATAGTATGTTGGTGGGGACCCGGAGCATGGAGAAAGATACGGCAGGGCGTAGGGAGAGGTCAGGCCAAGAAATGGTAGTCTATGATTTTAAAAGCATGGACAGTGGAAAGCATTAGGGGAAAACTGCATTAGAGCAAAGATGTGAAGGTGGAGAGGTGCTGAGCATGAGGATATGTTGTCCTGCGCTTAGACAGTGGGCAGAGGCCAGTGTAGCTGGCACAGAGATAGGAAAGGACAAGAGCAGAAAGAGCTAAGGCCGCAAGGGACAGGTCATGAAAGACATCGCAGGCCACTGGAAGAACTTGAGATGGGGCCACTGGAGGATTTTGAGCAGGAAAGTGGCATAGCTGACTTATTTTTCAGGAGGATTAGGGAACTCTGGCGGCCTAGTGTAAGGAGCTGCACTGCTAACCCGAAGGCATGGTGCTTCAACCCACCAGATGCTCCACTGGAGGACAATCTGGCTGCTAGGTGGTGAAGACATTAGGTGGGCAGAGACAGGGAATGTAGTTTGGAGGATATTGTAACAATCCTGACAGGGGTTGATATTTCCACTTGTACAGTGACATATGTTCATTTTCATATAACCCCCATCATTTATTCCCCCCCCCTTTTGCTTTTAAAATAACACTCAGATCCAAATGAATTCAAGAGAACTCACTTCGGTTTAAATATGCCTGTCTCCTCTTCCCCAACATTCTTAAGATTGTGTGCAATAGAAAATGAGTGCTTATGGAATAAAATTGCACTTGGAAAATTAACGGGGGAAGAAAAGAGAGGTTAATGAATTAAAAACAATGTGAAACTCCTGTACCAAGTTTTTGGTGGGAAGATTTTGTGCTTTCACTTAGAATGCCTGAGCCAGTGTGGTCTTAAACCCCTTCTCCACTATGCTTCATGGGTTGTCAGACCATCGCCATATGTTGGAGTGCCTTTTAAGTTCTGGCACTTTCTAGAATGCCAGACTACACTGAATTATGACCTTGGCAGGAACTTTCTTTCCATCAGAGAATGTTATGCTCTCTCATAGCACAGGGTAGAAGGGATAGCCATGTTTCTCTGCCTTTTCTCCTTTCCTAGGGAGGCATTTTCTTTCTCTATTGCAGTAGCTGGAATATACTAGAAACATCTTCATAGTTTATCTGAAATGACAATTTGACAACATCCGGCATTTTTTGTTTGCAATGCTTTCTGCTGAGGGAGGGGGACAGGAGGATAGAGTCCGGTGGCTCCTTCCCATCCTCCTTAGTCTTCAGACGGCTCCTCTTTCACTTCACCACTTATTTTGCAGTCTTCGCCTTTCTATTTCAAACATCACAATTTGGCAGTGCTCTGTAACCACATTTCCCAATATAGGTTTTTCCGACACTTCTTCACAATCCAGGTGTAGAAGATATAGGAGGAAGCATATGGGCAGAGGTCAGCGCCAACACACAGTAGGAGCCAGAGAAGAGTGGAGGGAAGGAGCACCTACTATGTGCCAGGTGCTTTGTGTGTATCATCTCATTTATTCTTCACAGACTCCTTTTGTATTGAGGGAGCCTAGGCCCAGGAAGAAGAAAACTTGTTACAGACAAGTGCTGGAACTGGGCTTCAGCCCAGGTTTTTCTGGCTGCAGAACTCCTGTTCTTTCATCTAAATTATGCTTGAAGTGAGTGTGAAGACACTGGCTGAGGTAAAAGCACTTCAAATTGTCCCACAAGTTATAAAGACTAAGACTCATAGTTCATTGTTGTTGAGTCGAACCAACTCATAGCTGACCCTCCAGCGGGTTTGCTGAGGCTTACAATCACACAGGAGATGGCCTGTATATCTCGTCAGGAGCCACTGGTGGGTTTGAACCACCAGAGAAGCACTGCCTTTGAGTTAATAGCACAGTTCCCTATGGACTGTGCCACCAGGTCTCCCTAATAGAGACAGAGGCTTGAATTAGTTCCCCGCATGGATACCTGGTGTGCAGGGGACTCGGCACCATCTAGAGCAGACACCGGAATAAATTCACCTGGGGAGACTCTCCAGAAAGTCTGGCCATTGTTGAGGTGATTGGAGAAAAATAGAAGTAACTCCAGGAGCATGGTAATGAATTTAAGCCTGGAAACCAAGTAGGGATCTTATCACGTCAGGAGGAACCCTTTTGTTATGTTAGATTGGTCAAGGTGAGTGACAGGTGAGGGTCTGGAAGCTGCTCCCTTCCTTGGGATGGCTATCAGGTAAGGCTAACACTCTTGCTCTTTCACTGGAGTATTATTACTCTTATTACTGGAGTAATAAATTCTTATTCTTCTTCATACTCTTGCCTCTCTCCCACAACATCATGGCAAAGTAAAAGCCTCTGCTGGATCCATCGGTGGTCTTGGGAGTGGTGATTAGTGATGCTGTGTGTTCTCAAGGACTCATTTGCAGTCAGTCATTTTTATTTCAGGTAATTTAGATAAGTTGTCATTTATATACAAGCTATTTTTAACCCTCAGAATTCAGAGTATTAAATCTTATTGTCTGTGAAATGTGTGCACATCTAAAAACAAAATTTTATTTATTCTAGCAAAAGCCCAGTGTGTGTGTGCATATATCAGATCTGTCTGGCACTGTCGGCCAAGAAGGCATTTAACAGACACTAACTTTCCCAGACCTGGAGCTTACCTCTCTAAATGACAGCTTTCTGATTATCTTAAAACATTCTTTTTATTCCCAATTTTTATTTTATATTGTTTTGCTTACAAGGTTCCTATTCATTGTGTTTCACATGATTCTTCTTATCTTACACATTCTTGATGGAAACCTTCTAAGAGATGGTGCATTTTTTCTTCTCTTTTCAAAGTGGAATATAGCGAATTAACTTGGACCTTTTGTAATGACTCAGATTCACGTTTGAGTCTTAACATCCTTTCTTATTCTATAATAAGTCCAACCCTACCCCTGATGATTTTCTTGTGCTTTAGATGGCCCTTTACACAGAGCAGGTATGTTTTCCTGTCAGCTTTTCATACACAGATTGCTCTGTGACGTTGGTTGTAATCCCAGCAGTATCAACCTTTCCTCTATCTCCCTGGGTCCCCATTTTTATCCGTCTGGTTTCCCTGGCCCTTCCTACCTTCTCATCTTTGGTTTGGGACAGATATTGCCCTTTTCATCTCCTTTGGTTGCACATTCTTCTAGGTGTCACCATCTAGTATCGGTTTGAAAAGTAGCTCGCTGGAGTCCCTTTGGTCTCTTTCAAACCAGTCTGAGTTTTATTTTTTCCATTTGAATTTTGTTCTACATTTTTTTACCACTTAATAAACTCTTTGAGCTTTTCTTCCCCATCTTCAATGTCATCTGGCATTCAGATAACAGTCATGTCCCACCTGGCCACTTGTTCACTGCTTCTAACCTCCTAGGCTCCTAGGGGAAGTGTACTCATGATGATAACTTCTGTGGCCTTGGCAAGACCCTTTAGTCCTTGGTCTCAGTTTTCCCAGCTGTCAGGTGAGATAGTTGGACTATATGATCATTCTGGAAGTGAATGGACTCTGGGTTCCTCTTCCTTGAGTCCCGGGCTCAGGGCCTGCTGATTTCTGGAGACGGGCCCATTTTG